AGGATGACTTTGTTCTCCCTCCCACTAGGGGAATCCTCCCTATGCCTTAAAACTGCCGAGCCCCACTCCATTTAATAGGATTCCTGGGCTTCCTCAACGGGACTGCGGCCCCTCAGTCCTTAACTGGAAAGTGACCGTCCACTGCCCCCTGGAGCCCATCTGGACACAGCACAGTCCCAAACCTGTTAGCAGCTGGCTCTGTTTCCATGCCTGGGGAGGGGTTCCTCAGTGCAGGAGTTGGGGCCAGGCTGGGGCTCCGAGCTGCTTGAGGGGGTCAACCTTGGACCAAAGTTGCCTTAAGCCTGTGGTAAAAGGGCTTCAGGGAAGGTCAGTGGGCCACCTGCTAGAAGCTGCCAGCTGCCCGGCTGGCAATGGTGTGTCTTGGCCCCAACCCTGCCCTGGGGTCCAGCAGGTCATCCCTCCCTTCTCCTCTCTCCTTTGGTGTTTGTTCCTGTAGCCACTGGGCTAATCTCCCCCTAGCTTCAAGCTGTACATAGGGCCTCCCAGTGCAAATCCTCCTGCCCATTCTGTGCCCCCTTAGAAGCCTGCGTGTGCATAGAGCGCCCCCTACCTTCCAGTTAACTCCCAGTTCTCCCTGAGCTTGGTATTTATCGTGTGCCAACTCTGACTCTGAGGTGGGCAGTGAGGGAAGCAGCCCCGGGCCTGCTTGCTTCCTGTCCCTGAAATGTTCTTTTCTTCTGAAGTAAATATACATATATAAATAAATGTATAAATACTGCTTTGTATCTGAGCTTGCCTCCTTGTCTCTTCTTGGGATTGGTCTGGTGGGAGAGGAGTCACCTATGAGGCGAGGGCCAACTGGAATTCAAAGTTCTTCCTGAGAAGCCTGGAATCTCTGAGCTCCTGAGCCAGAGGGCCAAATGGATGCTTCATACCCCTTATCCTCTTAGCTTCATACTGGAGTTAGGAGTGGATTCAGCAGCCCCTCCCGTGGCCACACCTTCCCCTCCCGCACACCCGCTGCTGCCCACCTGTGTTAAAAGTAGCCACCGAGGGGAAAAGCCTTCTTAGGGGGACAAGCCGAGCCTGGTGAGGATGCCCCAGCACAGAGAAGGGTAGCTATGTTTATGGCAGGGACTGGCCTAGGGCAGAAAGGACTGATGTGGGTTCCTAGAGAAGTCTGTCCTAGAAACAACAGAAAAGGGTAGGCCCAGACCCTTCCTATCCTCAAGTGAGCCTTAAATTCCAATGACAAAACACCCGTGCCACACAAATCTCATCCCCCTGAAGTAGATCAGCAGCAGGAACTGCGAAAGGCAGATGAGAAATGGGAAAGGGAAGAGATTGGGGAAGGAATGTAGGTCCCAGCACCCCGCCACCCCTGCAGAATGGACCCCAGACAGAACTGCCATACATCTGCCTTTATTATGAGCAGCAGGTGGGACACTTCCAGCAACAGTAAAAGTAATTTACAAAAGCAGGGGTTCAGTGAAGCCATCTGGTTGTTACCTAAAAGAGGAGAGTGGTATCAAAATGAGACCAATGGCCCTTCTTTCTACCTTCTCTCCCTGCACCCCTGTGCTCCTGGGGCAAAGGCTGTCGAGCACATGCCTTTGAGGATGAGCCACCAGAGCTGATTCCCAGTGGCCTGTTTGGTGGATTGTCTGCAGCAAGTTTTAAGCCCCGGATCTTGACCCCCTTTCAGCCAGCCAACTTCCCAGCAGCCTCTCCAAGTCACTGGGGTCTGACTTCTAAGAGCATAAATGTACAACCATGGGAAGCCTGCATTCACACTCCTACGTGGTACATCCCAAAGGCAGATCGAGGCCTTGGGCCATGTGAGCTCAGAATTGACAAAGTCACATTTGGCTCAAGTCTGTATGAGGGGCAGGGAAAGAGGCACAAATGTCTAGTGTCCCTACCCATTCCACTGAGTCTGTCTCCATCAACCAAGGGGTCATGCTGGCAAGAGCTTTAAGGACCCTGCTGACCTGCCTATGGGGAGGCTTCCCTGGCTCATGCGTCCATCCCATTGCAGCTCTTACCCTTGGGCGCTCACACGTAGATGCCAACCCAGAGCAGCAGGAAAAGGACTCCAAAGCCCATGAAGAGTGAGGCCACCAAAGAGATGAGGAGCTCTTTATAGATATCACGAGTGTACTTGGTAGAGGTGACCTCGTAACTGGGCACAGCAGTTAAGGCAAAGTGAAGGGATGGACTGTGGAGTGCAGAGAGCCCAGCCAGTGGCACTCTGAGGAGAAAGGTATTGGCTCAATGCCTTCTGGGAGGCATATCCAGCCCAGAGCAGCCAGGCAGAGGGGCCTAAGAGATGCTTTGGACTCTGGTGCTCCACTGCCATGAAGAAAATAAGACCCAGAGGAGTTAGGTCACTTGCCCCACGTCACATAGCTCATGAGGGCCGGAGCTGGGACTATCCCTCAGACCTCCCGACACCTGAGTGCACCCTTCCTTATGCCACCTTTCCAACTGTAGCACCCCTATTCCCCACCTCCACTCCAGCCAGGCCCCCTCCCTGCTCACTGTCCTGAAAATCCAAAGGACAAACTGAGCTCACCTGAACTTCGGAAATAAGGCCATAACCTGCTCCTGGGCATAACCAGCCCTCCTTACCTTCTCCCAGCCCCAATCCAATGTACAAAACTGGCGGGGTCCATGTACTTAGCATGGTTTCTCCCTTAGCCTCCCAAATCACTAATCACTGGTCCTCTGGCTGCTCAGTGAAAGGATACACGAAGAACCAGGCGGTGAAGAACATGCCGATGGCCAAAAGCACCACGGTCAGATGGGGGAAGACAGCCGGGTTCACTGGGCTGGTGTATCTGCTCATGGCCTCAAGCTCCTAGGGGAAGGCAAGAGATCAGAGTTATCAAAGAATTCCATGATTTCAGCCTGGAGAGAACATGGGGTTATCAAGGAGCCTGGTGCTGCTGTGAAACAGAGGCTGATTTTGGCCTGGAAATGTAGCTGCAGATCAATGGTCCTTATCATTTTCTGAGGCCAATGATCTGACCACTATGAATATGTGACTAAAGGTACGAACTCTCTGCCTGAGAAAAACCACATACAAGAAAAAGTTTGCCTACAATTTCTGGAGCTTTGTGGACCAGTGTCTATAGACACCAAGCTGAGAACGCCTGCTATAAGTCACTGGTGGTACCCAGATCTCAATTTTTTTTTTTTTTTTTTTTTGACGGAGTCTCACTGTCACCCAGGCTGGAGGGCAGGGGCACGATCTCGGCTTACTGTAACCTCTGCCTCCTGGGTTCTAGAGATTCTCATACCTCGGCCTCTTGAGTAGCTGGGACTATAGGTTTACAGGTGCGCGCCACCACACCTGGCTAATTTTTGTATTTTTACTAGAGATGCGTTTTGCTGTTGGCCAGGATGGTCTCAAACTCCTGACCTCAGGTGATCTGCCTGCCTCAGCCTCCTAAAGTAGTGAGATTACAGGTGTGAATTGCCGCACACAGCCTCAATTTCTTTTTTTTTTTTTTTTTTTTTTTGAGACTGAGTCTCGCTCTGTCGCCCAGGCTGGAGTGCAGTGGCCGGATCTCAGCTCACTGCAAGCTCCGCCTCCCGGGTTCCCACCATTCTCCTGCCTCAGCCTCCCGAGTAGCTGGAACTACAGGCGCCCGCCACCTCGCCCGGCTAGTTTTTTGTATTTTTTAGTAGAGACGGAGTTTCACCGTGTTAGCCAGGATGGTCTCGATCTCCTGACCTCGTGATCCGCCCGTCGCGGCCTCCCAAAGTGCTGGGATTACAGGCTTGAGCCACCGCGCCCGGCCCCAGTTTCTTTTTTTTTTTTTTGAGACAGAGTCTTGCTCTATCGCCCAGGCTGAAGTGCCTGGAGTGCAGTGGTACCAACTCGGCTCACTGCAAGCTCTGCCTTCTGGGTTCAAGTGATTCTCCTGCCTTAGCCTCCGGAGCAGCTGGGATTACAGGCGTGAACCACCATGCCCGGCTAATTTTTTGTATTTTTGGTAGACACGGGGTTCCACCATGCTGGCCAGGCTGGTCTCGAACTTCTGATCTCATGATCCGCCCGCCTCAGCTTCCCAAAGTGCTGGGATTACAGGCGTGAGCCACCGAGCCTGGCCCTCAATTTCTAATTCAGTATTTTCCTCACTACCTATACTATTATGGAATCTTGTGATCTACAGGGAAGGCATTCAAGTTCTGGTTCTACTGAGTAATCTGAGTCTGAGTAAAGTGATTGTATTATCTATTTCACAGGACTGATGTATAAGAAAGATGATGAATCAAAACTCTAGTGCCTGGCAGGGAGGATTTTGCTCAATAGGTATTTGCTTCCTTCCTAAGGTTGTAGGGAACGTGATGACATAATGCCTATGAAAGAGGGCTGTAAACGTAAAGATCTGTACAAATGTTAACTTCATTGTCACCCGTCAGCCAACGCTTCTAAAATCCAGAACATAACAACTCTAGAGAAGTAAACTGCCCCCATTGTTCTGAGACACTGGAATTCAATTCAGTAAACAATCACGGCCCCCTTCCCCCAAAATGATAAAGACAATCACTGCCATTTATTGAGCTTCCAATTACAGCCCCTCTGTTTGGCACTGGGAACACAAAGATGAATAGACATCATCCCAGAGCTAGATGCGCGTCAGACGGTGGTCACTAGGAGGCGCGGCCGCAAACAAAGGAGTCTATGGAACGTGTACAGAGGCTGTGGGCGCTCCTAGGAGAGTCTGGCCAAGTGCCTCAGAGTTGGAAGTGCCTCACCAAGAAACAACATTTGCCCAGGGCATTGTAGCATGGGCACGGGTTCAGCAGAAGAACTTTCCAGATAAAGATAACACACCACAGATAACAGACATACAAACTGGAAGGTATTCAAAATACGCCCCACGCCTCTCATTCTTAGAAATCGCGAGCTCAGAAACCTAAGGAGTTCATGACAAGGGGTTTCCCCCTTCCCCACCCTTCAGCCCAAGCCGGAGTTTCCAGGAGCGTCTAGCCCTCTGGATCTCTGGCGTCTGAGGAGAGAAGCGCGGTGTGGGTCAGACCCCGAGGGGTCCTCGCATCTCCATCGGGAACTCCCCTTAACCCTCTCACCATTTTGCCCCGCGCAGGCTAATCCGCCGCTCCGCCACCGGAAGCACACGTCCGCAGGAGCAGGCGCCTAGCACAACCGGAAAAGGAAGTGCCTCCGGCGCAAGTGGCATTGGGGGACTTGTAGTCCTGCGATTTCGGGTGTAGCGGGAGCAGGGGCCTGCGGGGACCTGGTGTGGGTGGAGTAGGGACAAGCGGTGGAGAAGAGTACGCCACGGTCGCTGAGAGACTCTGTTCTCCCTGGAGGGACTGGTTGCCATGAGAGTAGCCGTCTGAGGGGACGCAGCCTGCACTACACTCCCCAAGAGGCTGTGCGTGGCGGGCAGGTCACGTGATGGGAGCGCGGGCTTTGGAAGGCGGCTGAGCGTCAGGCGACCCGCCGCTAAGCTGAGGAGGGAGATCAGGTTTAGGAACCGCCTGCCCGGGCCAACCCCGAACAAAGCTTTAGCTGCCGAGGCCTCGTGTCTCAAAGGCCAGGTGAGACCCCATGGGAAGCGCCTCCGGGAGCGACGGGGTCCGCTTGGCGCTGGGGCCGTGGGGAGCCGGGGTCTGGAGTGCGCGTGATATGCAGTCAAGCGGTCCGGCCACTTTTCCCCCTGTGAGCCGTGGGCCAGTCGCGTAAGCTCCGAGCCTCTCTTTCCTCCATTGTAGAAAGGCGGTAATAAGTTCCACCTTATGGGGTCGTGTTGTATTTTTCCTAAGACCTTGGACGAGAAAGAGTTCTGACACTTGAGTTGTTTAGCCCCTTTCCTGCCTGCATGCCTGCCTGCCTCCCTGTCTGTGGGACGCCGCAAGGGGATCAAGGGCTACACGGCCTGGTCCTCAGTCAACATTCCAGCAGGGCCGCCGGCTTGAGGCAAGAGCCGAAGGGTTGAACAGGCCTGGAGAGGGGACATTAGGGGTTTCCGTCTGTTGTCTCAGTTAACCCTGGTAGCAGCCCTGAGAGACAATCATGGTAATCGTTCTTCATAAACCTCAGTGGCTTGGTAATGTCACAGGATGGAAAATGCCGCGCCTGGATTCAAGGCCAGAGCTTGCGCCGTTGCAATTCACAGGGGAATTATTCATATTAATCAAATGAATAATTCATTATCGATTAATTATTAATTGATTAATAATCCAGGGATGGACCTGGAAGGACGCGTGAGAGGATGGCGAGAGGAGGGCACAGCTAAGGAAAAGTGGAAAAAGGCGGGCCTTATTCCAGCTTTCTGTTGAGATCCCAGAATGTAAGGTTAGGTTGGGAACCAGAACATGAAAGATCGTGACGCCATGCTGAAGTGTTTGGACTGAATTAGAAGGAAGAATTGAACAGTCATTGATGCTCTAGAAAGAACCCTGTGAAGGAAGAATGGGAACAATGAAAAGTCCTGGTGGAGTCTTCCATTTCTTCTTTCTCTTTTGTTTTGTTTTGTCTTTTCTTCTTTTCTTGACAAGGTCTTGCTCTGTTGCCCAGGCTGGAGTGTGGTGGCACAATCATAGCTCACTGCAGCTTGTTACTCCTAGGCTTATGTGATTCTCCCATGATGGCCTCCCAAAGTGCTGGGATTACTGGCCAGCGCCTCTTTGCCTGGCCCTGGTAGAATATTTCTTGGAGTATTGGACACATACTGCCAGTGGGTACAGGATGAGTTTTTATTTTTTGAGACGGAGTCTCACTATGTCACTAGGCTGGAGTGCAGTGGCACAATCTCGGCTCACTGCAGTCTCTGCCTCCTGGGTTCAAGTGATTCTCCTGCTTCAGCCTCCCTAGTAGCTGGGATTACAGGTGTGCGCCACAACACCCAGCTAATTTTTTTTTTTTTTGTATTTTTAGTAGAGAGGGGGTTTCACCGTGTTGGCCAGGATGGCAAGATGATTTTAAATTGCACCTCCTAAAAATCCTTTTTAATAGTTATATATTTAACACATATTAAAATATAACTAATAGAACACAAATATTATTGCTTATGAGTTTTCCAGTTTAGTTTTTTAAAAAAAATTCTAAGTGAATGAAAGTACAGGTTTTAGTTGGAAGTGGCAAAAATCGTGAGGGTGATTTGGGAAACACTGCTATCTGGGAAACACTGAACTCTGAAGTGCAATACTTTTTTGAGCCCAGTGACTATAGCATGCCAGACCCCTAAATCAGGACCTGGGGAGGAGCCATGGAGTTAACATTTCAGACTGAGTAGTGGAGAGAAAACGCAAAGGGAAAGACTTGAAACTCTAGTAACATCATAATAAAAGTAGAAACTCTTATGTGCTGAGGCGATGATGAAGAGAGTTTAGAGAAGCTTGTGAGAAAGCCACATCACCTCCATTCAGATATGTTTGCAATCCTTTTTCAAGACTGCCTTATCAGTCAGGGTTCTCCAGAGACTCAAAACAAATCAGATCTATTTGTTTAGCTGGTATTTGCCTTTCAGGTCTGCCATTATGGTCCCTGGACTCCTCAAGCTGGGCTGGGCACCCTGGCCTTCTGTGGTCCTTGATAGAGACCCATGTTGTAGGGTTTTTTTGTATAATAAATAATGCTGCTACCTTAGAATATCAACAATATCTTATTTCTCTAAGCACCTGGTTCTATTTCTGGTACTCATTAAGCCTTACTATTGAGTAAATTCTGCTAGACTGAGTTTTTTGAGAATGAGGACTTTGTCTTGTTCGTCTTTAGCAGTGCTGACTTGTCCTTTTTGTTGTGTGGAATTTAGTTGAAGGCATGAAGTTGGTGAGATAACACCAATTATAACCCTTCTCCTTTCCTCCGTCTCTGACTTGCCTTTCTTTTTTAGTCATTCCTCCTCTGTGTTGCCATGGGAATTCAAGGCCTGGCCAAACTAATTGCTGATGTGGCCCCCAGTGCCATCCGGGAGAATGACATCAAGAGCTACTTTGGCCGTAAGGTGGCCATTGATGCCTCTATGAGCATTTATCAGTTCCTGATTGCTGTTCGTCAGGGTGGGGATGTGCTGCAGAACGAGGAGGGTGAGACCACCAGCCACCTGATGGGCATGTTCTACCGCACCATTCGCATGATGGAGAATGGCATCAAGCCCGTGTATGTCTTTGATGGCAAGCCGCCACAGCTCAAGTCAGGTGAGCTGGCGAAACGCAGTGAGCGGCGGGCTGAGGCAGAGAAGCAGCTGCAGCAGGCTCAGGCTGCTGGGGCCGAGCAGGAGGTGGAAAAATTCACTAAGCGACTGGTGAAGGTCACTAAGCAGCACAACGATGAGTGCAAACATCTGCTGAGCCTCATGGGCATCCCTTATCTTGATGCACCCAGCGAGGCAGAGGCCAGCTGTGCTGCCCTGGTGAAGGCTGGCAAAGTCTATGCTGCGGCTACCGAGGACATGGACTGCCTCACCTTCGGCAGCCCTGTGCTAATGCGACACCTGACTGCCAGTGAAGCCAAAAAGCTGCCAATCCAGGAATTCCACCTGAGCCGGATTCTTCAGGAGCTGGGCCTGAACCAGGAACAGTTTGTGGATCTGTGCATCCTGCTAGGCAGTGACTACTGTGAGAGTATCCGGGGTATTGGGCCCAAGCGGGCTGTGGACCTCATCCAGAAGCACAAGAGCATCGAGGAGATTGTGCGGCGACTTGACCCCAGCAAGTACCCTGTGCCAGAAAATTGGCTCCACAAGGAGGCTCACCAGCTCTTCTTGAAACCTGAGGTGCTGGACCCAGAGTCTGTGGAGCTGAAGTGGAGCGAGCCAAATGAAGAAGAGCTGGTTAAGTTCATGTGTGGTGAAAAGCAGTTCTCTGAGGAGCGAATCCGCAGTGGGGTCAAGAGGCTGAGTAAGAGCCGCCAAGGCAGCACCCAGGGCCGCCTGGATGATTTCTTCAAGGTGACTGGCTCACTCTCTTCAGCTAAGCGCAAGGAGCCAGAACCCAAGGGATCCACTAAGAAGAAGGCAAAGACTGGGGCAGCAGGGAAGTTTAAAAGGGGAAAATAAATGTTTCCCCATTATACCTCCTTGACCCCAGAATATTTGCCCTCTTGTACCCTTAAGAGCTACAACTAGAGAAACCTTCACAGGAGTGGAGAGAGGATTCTAAGGCTTTTCTAGTGTGACCCTTTTCAGTAGTGCTAGTCCCTTTTTTACTTGATCTTAATGGCAAGAAGGCCACAGAGGTACTTTTCCTTTTTTAGCTCAGGAAAATATATCAGGCTCAAACCACTTCTCAGGCAGTTTAATGGACACTAAGTCCATTGTTACATGAAAGTGATAGATAGCAACAAGTTTTGCAGAAGAGAGGAGATAAAAGGGGGAGACAAAAGATGTACAGAAATGATTTCCTGGCTGGCCAACTGGTGGCCAGTGGGAGGTGATGGTGGACCTAGACTGTGCTTTTCTGTCTTGTTCAGCCTTGACTTACCTTGAGAGAGAGCCATCAGGAAGGTGCTTCTTAGCAGATGGGAGGAACTGCTGAGAGAAGATAGGCAGAGAGCTGGAGCCCCTGGAGTTGACTGTGTCTGTTTGTGACTGATTATTGGCTATGTCTTGGGTGGGCAGAAACTCGAACTTGCTATGTAATTTGTGTCTGGTTATTCAGAGGAGTAAGATGGTGATGTTCATCTGGCAATCAGCTGAGTTGAGACTGGGATAAGACACTGGTTTTCATGCGCTGTTTTTGTTTTAAAGTTATGAAGAAAAAAGGTCAATAAAATTATAAAAGTGACCAAAATGTCATGTTCTTTGAGAACATTTGAAAATATCCCAAGTGACCATGACTCCAAATAGTTTTCCTTTTCACTCAACATGCTGTGTAATTGCACCCGATTAACAATGGGTGGTTTGAGAGTGTCCACAAGATGGCACCATGCTCCATAAAATGGCCATAGCAGATGGAACTTCAGCCATTAGGAGGAGGATGCTTTATTTCATCTTGCTGGGAGAGGAGTTTTAATACCTTGAATAGATTTCTAGATCTCTCATGTGAGATCAAAGGAGTGCCTTTAAGAAAGTCTCACAAGTTAGATCATCTACGTCATAACATCCAAGCATTTACTTTGCCACTACTTG